GTCACCCACACGCTGCTCAGAGGCATCGTAGCTGTCACCTGCACGTTGCTCAGAGGCATCGTAGCTGTCACCTGCACGTTGCTCAGAGGCATCGTAGCTGTCACCCACACGCTGCTCTGAGGCATCGTAGCTGTCACCTGCACGCTGCTCAGAGGCATCGTAGCTGTCACCTGCATGTTGCTCAGAGGCATCGTAGCTGTCACCCACACGCTGCTCAGAGGCATCGTAGCTGCCATCTGCATGTTGCTCAGAGGCATCGTAGCTGTCACCCACACGCTGCTCAGAGGCATCGTAGCTGTCACCTACACGCTGCTCAGAGGCATCGTAGCTGTCACCTGCACTTTGCTCAGAGGCATCGTAGCTGTCCACCGCCTTGAGTTCCATCGCATTCAGTGGGCGGTTGTACAAAAAGACGTTCTTTACTGTCACACTGCTGTTTTCGCCGCCGCCAAAGTAAAAGTGAGAGATATCATGCCTCCGTAACTTAAGGGGTGGTAGTTTGTTAGTATTCCCCACGAGCACGCCGTCCACGTACACGGAGCCCTTGTTGCCCTGCAGCATGAGCGCCACTTTGTACTCCTTCCCCAGCTCCCAAGTGCTGTTGCGTATTGTTGTCAAGTCGTCGAAGACTGTACCCCACTCGTTTGCCGGCGTGTACGACAGCCCCACAAACTTCCTGTTTCCCTTGTCCTCCAGGCCCGCGCCCAGCAGAGGAACGCTTTCGTTCGTAACCTTATGAATCTTCACCGTCGCCACAAGCGTAAACTCGTAATTCACAAAGCTGTCAACATAGTGATGCGTCCACATGTTCACAGGCCACATGGCGTATGATTCCGACCCCGTGAAATTAAAGCCATTTTCGACCTTCGTTGCATTCCTCACAGTTGCATTCACGCAACGGTACGCGTCGTTCCACGTTCCTTCACCCGATGCATCCGACAAAAATCCAACCAGACCTGCCGTGGGCACCGACAACTCGGAGAGGTAGGAGTCCAGTTTTGCCCAAGTCTCCAAGACGGACGTGATCGTCTTCAGCTGTTCCGTTAGGGGAGCAAGAAACAGGCTGCTTTCCCTAAAAGAGCCCCTCTCTTGTAAAAAGTACAACGCATTTTTCGAATAGAGCAGGGTGTTGCCAGACGTCGGCGTCGTGTAAGGGTCCATGGAAATGGGCCCGACGTGAAACGTGCGGTTGTTGTCAGTGACCCAAAGGTAGAGCGCGGTGGCTTGCAACGGGTCATCACGGAGAATCCCTTTCTGAGTGTACAGCATGACCTTCTTTCCTGCAATGGTCGCAGTGGCGATGGACCCCACTCTCTCAGCTGTTCGCGAAGAGTTCGGAAAAACCCTGGGATGCACGCGTGTGAGTGTCCTGACAGCCTCCTTCCACGTTGCCCCCATGTCCCTCGACTCGAACACCCTCAAGAGAAAAATGCATTTGACAACCATGACAAGCTGTCCATGCTCCCACTCAACGATGAGGGGGTCAGTGCACCGTAAAGGGAGCGCCCCATGTGGAAGCACCCAATTTTTGCCGTCGTCCTTCGAATAAATGATCGTGGCGAGAAATTCATCGTCTCCTATCTTCCTCGCCGTCACAGGAAACACAAGTGTGCCATCCTCCATCACAACGCCTGAGCCACCACAACCAATAAACTGGTCCAAGTCAAGTTGTTTAGCAGATGGTTCGATCTGCGGTACAAGCGAGGTGGATTTGCCCCATTGGATGACTTTATCTTGCGTGGCCTCACCCACGAGCAAATCAAGACCCTGTGAGGATGCAATCCACTTCTTCGATGAAGGATCATACTTCTGATGATAGTTTCCCACAAGTAGAAAGACCTTGTTGCCCTTTGCAATTGTTGTGGGTCGGACCGCATATCTCACACGGTCGTTATGTTCCTCTTGCGTGGTCGTGTTAAAGATGTTGTACGCCTTCGATTTGTTTGCACTGACCTTAGCGACAAAAGACGGCCAGCTCTCCGCAGAGTCAACGTACCCAGCCACAATATCAGCGTAAGTGATCCATGTTTGATTATCACGGGAGTGTTGAAAGAAGATGTTACCCTCGGCAAGTGCGACCAACACTCCACCAGCACTGGCGAGGGAAGGGTGGGCAAAAGAATCCCTCGTTTGACTTTGACCTTGTGTTTCCACAATCGTTCGATGCGGCACAAAAAGAGAGACAGGGTCTGGTATTTGCATTTCGTTTGGTTTATTCCTCTCGGCGTGCACAGCCGCACTGCCAAAGCATATCAACAGCACAAAAAGGAGCTGCACCGAAAAAGAAAACAGATGGCGGCACATATTGAGCACGTGCCACTGCTCACTCATTCTCTCTCTCTGCCTGTGGTGGATACGCTCAGGCTGCGACGATTGTGTGGTATATGTGTGTGTATTGCTGGTTATGTTTGCAGAGACCTCAAAGCGCACAGCGGCAAGTGGTGTTTGGTTTCTCTCCTTCCGTGTGTGTGTATGTGGAAGAGAGAGAAAAGTGAGGTGAAAAAAAAAAAGGACGAGCACCGCCCGCACCCACAGTTGGGCATCACGCAAAGAACAGCGAGAGCCCACAACGAAGGCCGCACCGACAAACGCTTAGGCCGCACGATCTCAC